TAAATAATCAAAAGATTATCAGTTTTGCTAACCGAATTGATGTATCATAAAGATAAGGAAAAACGCCCAAAATAAAAAAGGTCCCCAGGACAGGACAGGACAGATTTTATTATTAGGAAAAAGGAAACCTCCCATAAAATCTCCCATAGAATTATTTCCTTTCTCCCAAATCTTTCATAAAATGATTTCCTTTCTCCAATACCTACATTTAAAATTTTAGACAACAAGGATTTTGAGTAGAAAACAATTTAGTCATCTGGTAACACTGCCCTCTAACTATGTTATAATAGGAAAATTGTATACCTATTTATCAGGGAAGAAAAAGACGAAACATTTAGTCATTTTGGATAATATAGGCCGCGAAGGACTAATAACTTATAAATAATGGCCAGTAAGCACGAAATTTGGCGAAATTCTATATCTTCTATATATGTATAAGTAAAATTAATATACAAACATTCACGACTGTTATCCCAGATAGGGTAGTTAGATATTTGTATTCAAGTGTCAGGTAGCGAATATAACATTGTCTCTCAGTTTAGTTTCATTTGTTATCAGGGTTTCCTCTACGGATACGTCAGAAACGACACACAAAGTTTTATTGGTGTCGGCCAGATTTAATCTAACGACCTTTCGGTCTACATTTCTACAATCACTGACGGACTGTAAACCACGATGCTTTCACGACGTATTCTATCATTGTTTAATGCTATTAAAACTAAAAGTTTAGGTACTTAAGTGTAACTGCACTAAATCACCCAGAAACTGCTAAGACACGACAAGGCATTAATTAAGTTAGAACAAGACTCACAATTCAATAATAAAAGTATTATTAGGTATTATTTTTATTATCAGTTAATTTATTTTACGTAATATAATGCTCCTAACGAGAAAATAAAAACCTATAGGTACTCAGTTTTATTAGTCTTTATACTAATAAAACTGGGTAGATATCTACTTCATATAAAGGTACACATATAATTATTAGACAACTATATCTACTAGGTAGTATAGGTATATAGTAGAGGAGATAGTTAGTAGTTCTCCCAGGAAGCCATCGTGGTTAATTCCTGGTGAATTCAGTACGATGGGCTAACTGACTTGACTTAACTTAATGCACATCTTATTCTGGACATCTATCCTAGCTACACCTACTTTTAGCGCAGATGACTGCACCATTTCATTGTCATTCATTAAAAAACCCGCAATTTCGTAAAAAGCAAAAGTTAACCATAATAAGGCAGATATTTTTCTGTATTGTTACGATCCATGATAGAATATTTAGCTTCAAAGTCAATGCCATTGGAAAGCTTTCAATGTTATTAAAAACGGGTACTACCAGCACCAGCTTGTTTATCAACATTGTTGTTTATGACCATTTATGCCAGTTCGTGATAATGCAAAGCTTTGTTGACTGCTAGCCCTGCGACTTGCGACCACGTCGCCCCGCTTGGCACAGAAAAACCGCGCCAGTAAACTTAATGACTCGGTTAGGAGCCTCGATATTTGTATAAAATCACAGCCAAAATTTCTTTACAGTATAATATAAACAGTTGACGAGTTCACACGACACAGTGGGATATTCAAATGGTGTATTATTTTATTCTAGCCACATTTTTTCGTATCATAATAATTACTGTATAAGAATAATAATCCTGATATACATAGAGTGGTTTTACAGTGAATAAACACGCAAGCCTGTACAACGAGTTTTGCTACTAAGTTGGGGGTGAGAGTTGTTTTTCTAATAGGAACTACATTGTTAAGTATTTTTACTAATTGTGAAATGTACAATAAAACAGCATTTACTGCCATAAAGATTTAGATCAATTTTGTAGTTAGCACCTGCCCAATAGAAGTGTCAAGGCTGAAGGTGGGCAGATATAAATCTAGAAAACAAATTCTGATTCTTTACTTGCTCTGGTTTGCATGACATTCTGCAATGTATTATATTGTGGAATCTCCCATTTGAGTGAATAAAATCTTTATACTGCATGCAGAGACCACAAGAAGGGGAGACTTATATACCCCAATGGTATAGTGTATGTGTCTTGGTTGCCCGCCGGGTACGTAGGATAAATTTGTTGGTCTCTTAATTTCTTAGTACGTAGAAACTTTTCATTAAATGGAATCTCATACAAACTGGTTAAATAGCATTAATGCATTAAATTGGGCATCCAATATTACGCTGCGAATAATCGTAGGATGTTATGGTATTTGAACACCCGCACTATACACATAGTACATGTTAGACTTACTGTTTCTGCCGCCAAGCAATTTGCTTTGTATTTGCTGACTACTTCAGTTGAGGAGATGTATGGGAGTGAGGCATGACATTTTAGTCTTCTGCGGAACTCTGAGGGTAGCACGTGGGTCATATAATGACATGACGTCCATGCTGTTCATATATACGTACGTCATGATTGCCATTTACTTAGGTTGGCCGTTAGCTTTGTTCCATTATATCCGATATTATGTATATCGGATATAGCGAATTCTTATATCACATTGTTTATAACAATACTCCTACCAGGTTTGACCGATTCGTATGAAATTTTGTGTGTATATTCAGTAGGTCTGAGAAAAATATGTAAAATATTTTCATACTCCTAAGTGGTTTTTTTTTAATCGTTGATAATGGAATGGTGCATCCGCCTGCGCTAACGGTTTACGCTGGCGGGGCACCAGTAAAGGATGATAAGATGAGCATGAAGTCAGATCAGTTAGCCCATCGTGACAAATTCACCAGGAATTTATCACGATGGTTTCCAGGGGGAACCGCGTGGAGGTCAATCTGACATGGTACATTGCTAGTAATTGGGTGATGAGTCCATGTTGCAAACAATCCCCTCCCCCCCACTCCTAAGTGGTAAGGGTGGTCCATCCCAAACAATTTTTGTTGTTGTTGAGTTGACGATGTAAAATCATAATGAAGTCGGGTCGGTTAGCCCATCATGGTCAAATCTCTAAGAATTTATTAATTCCAACGTGATAGGCGTATATTGCTAGCAAGGGGGATAAACAATCCTCTCCCATACTATCAATATTTATGTAAGGCAAATAATGCGTTTTTTGTAAGATTAAGTTAGGTTAATTGAACTAAGTTTTACTGGCATTAGGGTTAATATAACGTGCTGTATTCGTAATTACGAGCTCGAAAAGTCATGCTTCGTACCGTTTAAATTGCACATGCACAATGCGGCATGGTGGTCGACGTCATTTGCTTTGCAGTAATATTTTTGCTACTAATGCGCCTGCACGGTTTGTAAGGAACTCCAGGATTACGAAAATGCAGTTTTATACATGTTTTACTCGTGGTTGCATTTTGTCAAGTTCATTAAGTGAAATCTGCCTCAGAGTAGTGTTTTTACGGTCGATAACTTACAATAAGATTAACGAACTTCTAAATAAATGGTTAGTGTTGAACTTCATTAGATGTCTTATTATACACTCTACGTAATGTAATTTACTAAACCAGTTGTATATGAACATCTATAAAGACCTACAGTGTAATTATCGGGATTATTTAAAATTTATTTTCCTACAGTGTAGCACTTCACTGTTAATTAAAAAAGCACTTTAGAAATTGATTTTATATTCAATTTCTACTACAATATTACTGTTTTATTTGTCACGTAGGCATATAGAAGATCGAATATTTCTGTGAAGATTGAGAAGAGATTAAACAGTTACCTACTTACGTATTCATACTTTTACCGTAGCCTATTTTATATTCATACTTATAAAAGTGAGAATAAAGTGATTCGTTTGCATAAATTATACAAAAGAAATAAAAAATGCTTACAGATGTAGGCGCTCTAATCTCGAATGTGGTAGTCAGGGCCTCGGGGACATGGAATATATTGTTAACTTGTGTTGAACCAAACATTCTATTTGCTTATTTATAATTTATTGGGCTGAGATAGTTAATGTGAGTATATTTACCTAGCTACCACTGCGTTCTAATTCAAGTGTTGATCAGTGGATGGGTATTCAATGGATTGAAAACTATGGGAGTTTTATTATTTTTAAACGTAACCTATCACGTACGTTAGTTGTTTATCTAATATACACATTTATGGAAATATATATACTAGACCTCAAAAATTATGAGATATAGGCGTACCACGATTCGTATATTATGTTTTATGTTGTAATGTATGTGTTAACGGTATACGCTGGCAGGACACTAGTGAAGGATGATAAGATGAGTATGAGGTCAGGTCAGTTAGCCCATTGTGTAAAATTCACTAGGAAAATAACATTATGGTTTTCAGGGGGATCCGCGTGGAGGTCAGCCAGACATTGTACTTATATTACTAACAATCCACTTCCCTTTACGTGGTATATTCCCTGTACGTGGTATATTAATGTTCAAGTATAAGCAACGGTTATAACAATGGTTTTACATACCTTCATCTTTCATAAGTATGTGCGTTTACAGAGCAAAAGATTTACTACAATTCTATCTAACAAAGATATACATATACAAATTTAAAATATCGATTAGAATCTGTCGATAATCGATAATAAAGTTGTTAATACGATATCATGGTTGACATTGACAATAATGCTGTAATGTCATTACATAAGTCAATTCATTGTTTGTTGTCTTGACAAAGTTTGTTAATTTTGATTTAATTGTCGGTGATGGACCACCACTCATAAATTTATTTTTAATGAAATAAAATACTATTGTATTTTGCTTATTATATGTCATAATTATTCATAATGGGTTACCTTGTGAATCTTTTTAAGTCCTTGCTTCAAAAATATAAGGTCAGTATAATAAAAGATGTAGAATTACATCAACAAAGCCTTTGTTAGTTTTATCTGATTATTTCTATTAATGTAAATGTTCATTATTGAATTTGGTCCTTTTATTTTTTATCTCTGTTATTAAATAGTAATACATCCAACTTTTGTTATAAATACTTTTAATTACTGAATCTATTATAAAAATATTGTCATGTTTTTTGAAAATTGTATTTTATTTCTAGACTGTACTAGAATCTGGGAGTGTGGGGAACGCTTCATCATCTGATGAAGAGTTGGAGCAGTGGGAGCAGATATTTATGATGAGAGATGAGAATGGAAACAGTTATAATGATAAGTAAGTGTAAATAATAGAATTAAATTAAGTTACCTGGCTTGTAGGTTCTGGATGGGATTTTAAATAGTGTTTACCTTAAATAATTTTGCAACATCTGTAATCTTAATGATTTTGTCTATTTTAATTATTTTCTTAAATACTACTACTACTATTCTCTGAAATATAGACATTTCTAACAATTCCCATACTCAGGATGTTGGGATTTATGGCAATAGTGTATTAGTAGACAATTTTATTGTAGAACATTTTGTACATGCAGCTGGATTTATAAGCTGTTATTATGATGATGACTCAAATATAGCAGTGATATTATAGGGTACAAAGGCACAATGCCTAAGGTGGGCATTCAGAATGTTGAGATGGAGTCCATAGGGTGATGTGACCGTGAAGTTTTCTTATATTATTGATGTTATAAATAACATGTTTTGTTTTATTAGAAGAAAAAAACGCAGCATATGGTGTCGTCCGTCCTGCATTCCAGTGTCAATAGTTATTATTCTAATTGTATTGGTTGTGTTGGTCCCACTCCTCGATCAGCCCAACGTGGTGCAAACAACACCAGCAAGTGCTCCTGTTAGTTTGCATTGCTCAGATGAGTGTAGGTTAGTGAAGTTTTTTATTTTAAATTTTGTTTCAATATAAGACATATCTCATATTTCTTAAACAAAAAAAATGCTAATTTGTAGAATTAGTAGATTTTTTTTAATTCACATGATGTAACATGATAAATCAAATTTGTTTGGCATATGGTTAAACTGGTGGATTATCAATCGAGATATCTTTCTTGTATATACTCCATTCTATATTCTGTATGTTACTATAGAGTGTCTAATGAACCTAATTATGTTTTTGTTACGTTTTAAATATTTATTAATTATACATTGTAGTTATTGTTGTTTTTTCTTTGTATGTTAAAGTATCACTCACTTGTTTCTGCTCACCCTATAGTTGATCTGAAGAAAATGTAGCTTTAGCTATTTTACAGATACTATAAACTGTATCTTATAGATACAGTATATGCCTATATTTAATGGCATTACAATATACATTTAATAAATTTATTTATTAATTTTCCTTGAACCTTTTATATTAACTGTCATGAAGGTTAAAAGGTAATAAATCATATTGTCTATGGTTATTCATTCATGTTGACAAAGCTGAATGATTTTGAAATTCAGAAGATTAATGATCATTATTTATGTTGTAGGTTATCATTAGTAGAAAGTATACCAGAAGGTCACATGTACCCTCCCAACATAACACACCTACCCACGAAAAACGTGTGGTTAGATTTAATTGATGAAGCTCAAACGTCTATAGAAATAGCGTCCTACTATTGGTCGCTTAGATTTAATGAAGAATATCCTTATAATTCCTCTATTGAGGTAAGTTAACAAACATTTTCCTAAATTTACTAATTTGAATAAAATAAGGACTTAGAAAGTTCACAAAGGATATAAAAATGCTTAGTTTTGACTAAATATGTAGTTTGTAATTAAATTTTAGATTAAGGTAATAAGGTATGTTAGATTTAATAGTATTGATATTCCAACATGGACAAAAGTCTTTAAACTAATAAAGAAAAAAGTGTTGTACAAATTTCATCCTACATGTTATTTACTTTAAGTAAACAATAATAAAAAACAATGTCAGTGTACATCAGTATTTTGTTCTAAATATAATTGAAATTGATCTTTAAATCATATCAAACTTAATGAATATTTTTACTATGTTATAGTTCAAATGATTGAAAATATGTATAAAAATATTAAAGTGTGTGTATAAATTTTTTTTTGCAGGGTGAACAAGTGTTCCAAGCTTTATATGCTGCTGGGTCAAAAAGACATATTAATTTAAAAATTGCTCAAAATTGGCCCACTAAGTTATACCCTAATATAGATACTGAATATTTAGTTAAGAAGAAAGCAGCCCAGGTATCTTTATCAACTATCTTTATATTTTCAATTATAATATTTTTTCTGTTTACTGCCTTAATAATATTCGGCTTCGGTGGCCTAGTGGTTTAGAACACTACATTATTTCCGATGGTCGCAGGTTCGATTCCTCGCATGGTACAAACATTTTTAATTATGTGTATGATTGTATGTATTGGTCTGCGTGTTTTTCAATTTGTAAAAAAAAATATTTTAGTAGAGTTTCTTAGTTTTAGACAAGATGGCGCTGTGTAAATTATTATCATTTAATTTTTGTAGGTGCGGAGTTTAAACTTCTCAAAATTATTAGGAAATGGAGTGCTACACACCAAGTTTTGGATTATTGACAGAACTCATTTCTACATCGGTAGCGCTAACATGGATTGGCGGTCGCTCACACAGGTACCATATCTCTATATATTAAGACAAGGCAAGGCAAGATTTTGTACCCCTTTTTTACGAAAATTGCGCGGACGGAGGAGTATGAAATTACAGACACATAGATTATATAGAGAAGTGTAGAATGGAAGGAGTGTAAATGAATATCTGTAATTTTAAAAAATATTTGATTATTATAAATAATATTATACATATATAGTAAATAGACCTTTAAAATTATTCAAAAATTTATACTGAAATTATAATCGAGCTTAGATCTGCGAGTCACTTGATCTCAATAGCCTGTAGCCTATTGTAGAGAATGCATAGTATATGATGGTTTAAAAGAGCGTTAAGGTGTTATACATAATATCTCGTTGAGACTGATTTTGTTGTGTGTGAATCAATATGGAATGATGCACCCGCACGCGTAACGGTATAAGTTGGCGGGTCACCAGGAACGATGTTAGAGGTTGAGCCTAAAGTCAGCTAAACCATTGTGGCAAATTACCAAAAAATAATATTCACTTGGAGGCTGATCTGAAACTGTCCTTTTTTTAACTGTGATAATATAATCGTGCTTCTGCCTGCGCTAACGGATTACGCTGACGGAGCACTAGTGGAGTATGATGAGATAACCTTGTGGTCAGGTCAGTTAGCCCATCACGATGAATTCAAGGGGGTACCGCGTGGAGATCAACTTGGTACATTACTACCAATGGTGTCAATCCCCATTACTAACAAGCCCTGCCTTCCCTATGGCAAAGATTTTGCTAATATCGCTTTATTTTCAGGTGAAAGAGCTCGGTATAGTTGCGTACAACTGCTCTTGCCTCGCCACAGACTTGGGGAAGGTGTTTGATGTAAGTACAATTATCTCAGTTTTCGACTTCAAGAAATGCATAAATTTCAATTGGATTATATTTGTGTATGTGTGTGTGTGTTAAACTATATAGGTATCTTGATCAACAGAAATAATAGGAGATTTTTGCAAGAAGAAAGCTAGTGTTTTCGTAAGCTACCTTTTTGAATTCCATTGATTGTGTAGCGTTATATATGTTGTGATGAGGTGACGCTACATAATATATTATTTATTGTAGTATGTAGGTAGTGAGTATACCAGTAAAATGATTGTATTATTTAGTAGACATTATTAAGTTTATTGGTAGAGTGCTACATGGTTTATTAATAACGCGTCCAGTCGACGCGGAGTCGGGACATAGACTGATTTTACACTTAACTTAAATCTATGTTAGTGGAGACGTAAACTAACTGGAAGGGTCTCAAGTGTTGACAGAAATATTACAAGTGTAGGCACAACTGCAAAAAGAATATTTAAGTATCCATACTAGACGAGCTAGGTGTCCAAATATTTTAGTTTTAAATACCATTAAATATTCGCTACGTTTTTACCCCTTAACCAATTATTAGACATATATTTTTGTGATTAACACTGATGTACTATACCATCCAGGTCAATTATAGTCAGACACACGAAGTCGCGGCTAGAATGTTATAGAAATGTGTATTAAAGCTATTTATAAAGGGATTAGACATTATTTATAAATATGTTAATGGTAATTACATTAATGGTAGAGGCAGTGAAGTTACATATATAGGATTTGTTTTATAGTTTTTGATTAGAGAATACAAAAATAAACTTTAAATATATTAATATCAAAAGATTTTCTTAACATAGAAGCTAGTTACTTGTTATAAAGGTGGTGTAATAAGCCCTGAATATAGTTGAGAGTTGCAATGTAAACAAGTTATATTCTGAATGCACATTTATCTTCATATATAAGGGGAACAAGCTTCATTAGCTTCTTTGTTTTACGCTAGTTAGCATGTATTTCTACGTCGTGTCATTTAATTACTAACTTTTAACTGCGACTCTGTCTGCTTTTGTTTTTTATAATGCTAACTGTTATTCGTGTCGTTGTCGGTTGTTTTAAGTTTTTTTACTCCTGGTGTTAATAATGTAATAATATCCCTGAACGATTTGCACAGCGCCATCTAGTTCCAAGGTAAGCAGAGCTTGTTATGGGTACTAGACAAATGATATAAATACCTACTTAGATACAATGTTTTGTAAAGACATACATAATATACATAAAAAACACTAAGACCGATATAAACGATAATCATAACGTGCGAGAATTCGAACCCGCGACCATCGGAAAATAAAGCGGTGTGCTAAACCGCTAGAGCACATAGGCCAATGTGATATAATTTATCTTCACTTTCAGTCATTTAGTTATGAATATGTAGCAAATATATAGACGTAGTATCGTATTTATACTATTAGTATGGTTGTAATTGTTTAGGTTATTATTTAGTTTCATTAATTGCGCAATTTATGTGTCGTGTTTGTCACGGACAGTGTCGCGTGCTAACAACATATTATAGGTAGACGTTTTCGTTTTAAAACAACATTTTTGTTGATAATTACTTTATAAATTGAGACAGCATCGTCGTTTTTTTCATTTTCAACTTAAATATCTAAAAAATTTCAACAAAACTTTGCCATAATCATAATTAAAATACAACGAAATTTCATAAAAAAAACATAATAATAAAGTTAATATACTTATAAATTAGAAATATGAAAAAAAAAATAAAATAATAATAATTTAAAGTTGTATAAATTCATTTCTAATTTTCTCATAAATACAACGAAATTTTTGCATAAAAAAAACATAATAATAAAGTTAATATACTTATAAATTAGAAATATGAAAAAAAAATATAAGTTTCTAAGAAAAAAATAAACAATAATAATAATTTAAAGTTGTATAAATTCCGTTGCGCCAAAAGTAAATTCAAGGTAGGACCTATACCAACCAACAATACAATGTTTATAGAATATTTAATAAGCGAAAGCACATAAAATATTAAAGAAATAAGATTAGAAATCGATCGTATTACAAATACAATTTGTATTTTTTTTTAAGTTTCATTTTGTTGAGACAACTCCTAGGTAAATATTTTGTTTAACATTTATAGTATAATGCTTCAAAAAGCTTGTAATTCAGTGACAAATACATACACATATTATATAACTGAACTATCATAGTCTACCAGCTACTAGCTAGCATATCAGTCTACTAGCTGTGCCCGCGGTTTCACCTGCATGAAATTTATAGTTTTAAACTTTCAATTAAAGTCCATAAGGGAGACGATGTTAATGACACAGAGAGTCTTTCAGAAATCTCCAGCAAAAGCCTTATTTTAAGTAGCTGATGGTGATTTCATATATTCTGATTCTTATAATAATTTATAAAAAGGTTTGACATTAACAATTAATATAAGTATATTACTGTAAAGTGTCATCAAAATCCGTTCAGTAATCAAGAATAATAAACATCCAACCTTCCATACTCACAAATTTTCGCGCTTATTCTTTAATCTCGCATTTCGCAATTATTTCTGATAACAATGGATTCGTAAGTGCAATCCATACTAATATTGTTCGGAAATGTTCTGTCTGTCTGTTCATTTCTTATCTTTTCAAATGTCAAATTAACGGTCTTATAGAAATTTTATATAATGATTTATACATAGGATATATTTTTCTCATTAACTAATCTGGCATAGGTGGAATATTGCACATACAAAGTCGCGGATAACTGTATGAAACAACGATTTAAATTTAGCCATAATAGCTGAAATGAACGTGTTTATATTTTGCCATGTAATGCAATCGAGTCATTGCCAGACCAAGGGCGGGTGGAACGCCAGGGAAAGCCTTGTGAAACGGCGACACATTTATTTTTAGCTACACTAATGCATGCGATACATCCAATTAAATTTGCATGTTACCACCATCTTTGTTTATTAAAATAGTGGAATCAATAACTACGCTGCATTTGATCAATGAGCTATATGCAGATAGCTACGACGCTACGAAATAAAAAAGGAATTAATGTAGTTAAAAAAAGTTAAGTTTTATACGTATTAATTATGTAGTTACGAGCACTTGACAGCCCTGTTGTTTATAGCGTTCATATATAGGCTACGGTGTACGTTTACTGTCAGATACTCTTATTAATAAAGTAGTAATAATTTTGCATTAAATGTATGGAGTAACTGAATTCTCTCTCATTTTTCAATTTATTCTCAAAATGAACTCGTCGTCTTCTCTTCCGTTGCTGTGCCCAACAGAGTCCTTAATTGATCTACCTACCAACTGCTTACTGTAAAATTATGGAATGCAAAGCTTTAATAAATAAATATTCTTCTCCGAGTAATATACATGAATTACGACTAGTCATCTTGCATTAAGGCTTGTTTTTCAATGAATTTATCTACTATTCCGACATTTCTTTCGTAATTAGGAAAATTTACTTTAACACCGTTAGCATATAGACGCCTATTATATCAAAGAGTGTCACGTGAAAGCAAATATAATTAAACCAATACATGTAATGAAGTTTTAAAATAATCTGCCAATACTTATTCTGACTGCCATGTAATTAATCTATCATGAACATGGCGTGTTATCATCATAATTTTTCATCTTCGTCGTCCATCATTAGATGTAATTATGTAGTATAAAGAGAAAAGTTAAAACAACCATTTCAGTTTTGTTTTGTCAATGTCAAACAAATTATGGGGGTTGGAGCATTGTATTATTGTCGTAAAACACCGGAAGTGAATCGTTTCCCTCCACTTAGTTTTGAAATGTTTATCACGGTGCCATCACGGCGAATGTTGCTTTAAACCGGTGTTTTCTTAATGATTTCTATCCATGACATTTATGACCAATTAGAGTTAATTTAAAAGAAATGTGATATCATTTTTCCCCGAAGTAGGTTGATACATCTGTAAAATCTATATAAACTTAATATTGAAATTGAAAGTTATTTTTTCCAAATATTTTTTTAATTTACCTTTACACTGTTATTACTAGTACTGAAGGTGAAGATTTGTTAACCATATACCCACAAAAATTATTTTTGTAATTTTTATCTTATATAAATATCAATTTATGTAACGTGTTGTATACGTTACATTGTTTTGAAATAAAGTATTCTTATTTTTATACCTAATTATTAATTATTTATTGTACCAGATCTATATTTGCCAACAAGTAACATTATTTATTTATACAAAGACACGTCTACTTTTTTATACATTTGTTCTATACCCGTGAAGATGAGGTAATTGACTTTGGCGCCGTTCCTTAGATAGCCTTAGTTAATTAGAGTCTGAACCAGGACTAATAAAATCTTATATATAAAATTCTCGTATCACAATGTTAGTTACCGTACTCCTCCGAAATGGCTTGACCGATTTTTATGAAATTTTATATGCATATTCAGTAGATTTGAGAATCAGGTACTATCTATTTTTCATACTTCTAACATTTTTTTTTAAATTATGGTAATTTTTTTATAATGTGGCATTAAAATACATTCCTAAACTTTTCCCTACCCTAAATTTTCACCCTTCTATCACCAACCTCTAATTTTTAATAGCGATATTAGTACTCAAATTTATATGTATAAATGTATTGTTCTAAAAATCATAGTATCATAGTGATCGTAGTTGTAGTTACGTATGTGTTACAGTCATGTATAATTTGTATTATTTACGGTTAAATAACATTACGCTACAATTTGCTAGAAGTCACAAAGTTGTCTATTGTTACTTAAAACTGGCACGGGGTTGTACCGAACTCCTACGTACACTTGAGTAAAGTTAATATGGTACAAGCTTGTAATATAAAGGAATTATTTCAATTCAACTTGTTAGGTACATATTAAAGTTTCTACTAAGGTTAACTATAAGTTTTACCCTTGTGCACGTTGTGCACGTTGATTTGATATGTGCAGCAAGTTTATAATAGAATGCAAGTAATGACTCTAAGAAATCGATTGATTTGAGAATTTATATGAACCATCTGAGGTTTAGTCATCAAGGCTTGCTTTGTAATGCAAACAGCTTTGTGGCATTGCAGTATAAATTATGATATTATTCAGAAATAGACTTTCGTTGTGACATACATCTTTATTCATGAATTTATATATCTAACTACGGAATTTTGAGTTGTTAACGAACGATAGAGGCTCGAAGGTCGACCTTCGATGAAATTTTGGTCTCGATCGGTCGTGTCGTTTCGGAGGAGTATCGTTACAAAGAGTGCAAATCTGAGCTTTAAGACTACGCGCTTCGCGCTCCATCCAAGAATATCAAAATAAGTTTTTGAGTATTATTAATAATTTGCGCAGGTCTACTGGAGTTTGGGTACTCCAGACTCTGTGGTGCCGAACAGCTGGCCGGCAGAGCTCAGCACCGATATCAACATTGAACACCCCATCAACCTCACTGACACACAGCACAACTATGGTGCCTTCATTACCGTGAGTATACAACAATATGTAACTTCCAAAGTTTCACCGAGTGCAACCCATACCTACTCTTTTTTAACGTGTGGAATAATTTTCACAAAGACCGGAGGGATGACGGGATGGTGTGGGATTTTTACTCACTGAAAAACCACACGGTGTTTCTATAAACGCCCATGCCGGAGTCAGGAGTTTTGCATAGACATTCTACCTAGACTCCGACGGTGATGGCTCGCCCTGTAGGTGTTGTAGGGAAGGCCTCATCTCTGTATGGTTAGGGAGATTTATTTGGCCCTATTGTGGAGGCATGTGAATATACGTACGTACCTGCGGGGTCATTTGGCGACAATAACATAAGCGTGAAATTTGTAGTCTATGAGTTATACTGTTGCATGAGCTATAGTACTGTAAAGTTGCATCAAAATCCGTTCAGTAGTTTCTCAGAAAGTTTCGCGATTAGAATATTAGTAAGATGGAAGTAAATTGGATTTTAGAACTTAATAAACAAACAGTTGTGATGCAACAACTGAAATCCATCGTGGTTAATTCCTGGTGATTTCGCCGCGATGTCTGACCTGATTGCATGCTCATTCTACCATCCTTCACTGGCCCCTCACCACTGTATATCGTTAGCATAAGTGGATGCACCATTCCACCCAATACATTAAAAAAAGTGTCAACTGTATGTACTAATTGTCCACCTAAAAAGGTTATATGACCCAGAAAGAGTCATCGCTCCCCGCGCATGACTAACAAGTAGTTCCCCTATACTTTTCAATTAATTTGAAAGGTTTATAAGTAAAGCGAGTAGGTATTCATAATAAATAAACGTTGGAATGTCAAGACGAATTATATAAACAACAGCAATTTCGTAATTACAATGTTACCTTAATTGGTATTTGAGTTGTTCGGATTAATCGCTCTATTTTGTCAATCGCATCAAATCGATGTAGGTACTTTACTTGTATAGTACTGTCATATAAACTATTGGGAATATATATAGAGGAGCTGTCGGCCTTTCTAAAATAACGAATAATTGTCGTTGTGAGCTCTTGCTCTTAAAAGATACCTTATATTATTCACATCTACATCAAAGCAGAGTACTTTAAAACGTCGATTTTATAGTCTGTGGGCCAGAGGCTTTTTTGCTAATTATTTCCTCCCGGTCGTTAGAAGTTATCGACTTTTAAGATAGTTAAGAATAGTATTATGAAGCTTACTGAAAGTCACCTGTGGTTCCGAAATTGGGTCGAGGAACAGCACCCTCGCAAACATGTAAACTTTAGTTAATTCCCACGTCGAAATTATAACCAAATTATAGTTAAGCCTTATATATTTGTGATAAAAATAGTCAGGTGACTGTAGCGTACACTTAAAAATTATAGATTTTTTTTTAAATTCTAACTAGGGATAATCTCTCAGCAAAGCAACAGTTGAGTTTCTTGACAGTTCTTCCATCAAATTGCCATAAACTAGTTGGGAAATTAATAAGATAATATAAAACCTAATGTGGGTTTTAGATAAAATGCCTTAAATACGATTAATTTTGAGTCGACTTTACAATGTCAAAACGTACGGTTATATGCCAAAATTTCCAAATATTAGCAGTATACCAGTAGATTATTCAGTAGTTAGGTACAAACGATACTTGTGCTAAATTGTATTTATGTATGTGTATATGTTTGTTCAGCAGTTGTGAGGACATAAAGAACAAACACGGCTATACTATAGTATATAAGTACACCCTTGCAATGACACAAACATTGCTGCTCTGTCTAGACATGTAACAATATTCCGTGGCAATATAGCGTTTAGGTTCTTTATTGCACTTAATGATTATAAATGCTGTCATGAATTCGATACGTTATAGCGATAAAGTTTAAAAAATGACCGTTTCCTACTTATTTCTATGGAAGTAATCATATGATAGTTATTGATTTGTTTCACGGAATCCAAAGTCATTTGGGTAGACTAACTGCTAATGATTATGTCATGTGGCTATCTCTTTTTAACCCAAGTAGACTTTATAGAAAGTTGTATACGTCAGTATATCTGTCTCACCTCTTGCATTTGTCAAACAGTTTGTAACATGTCTTTTGATTGATATTGAGATATGGCTGAAATTACGAATGCAAACAGACGTGTTCATGTTTAGAGGTGACGGTTACCACTTACTAGCAAGTCAACTTGTTAGACATTATAGTTCTATAATAAAAATCTTTATGATATGATGACGGAGTAGTGTACGACACTCTACGGTAATGGTATACGCTACAGGCTACCAGTGACTGACTACTGAATGAAGCTTACTGCTTCTTCCTTATCTCATTCATTTGATGTTAGCGTGATATATTTTCCTCTGCCATTCATCCCTGTTTGCAGTCATCTCATTATTTACTCCCTTTCTTGTCATCTCATATTTCACACAGTCCATCCATCTCTATTTCCTCTGCCATTATAATCATCCACATTCATATGTAAACCAGAAATTAATAATGGTTACGGTTTCCAAAGCGACTATTGATTAACCAGTTTCAATGTTACGTGTTTTATATTGAAACCTGCATTTATGGAATTGTTTAGTAGAACTCTGTTTGGTAGAAATTAGACCTACTACACGGCTTCAAATATCTAAGTAATCTGCTGGCTAAGTTTTTAAACATGTTTATCTCGAAATCAAATTGAATGTTACTTTTAGTGTTGTGTAGTAGTGCTGATTTGAGTGAAATTAAATGAATATAATCCAATAATGCTTATAAAAGCCATCTAGCGATTTTAATCTCCATTTCGATGCTCTCAAATATTACGTTTCCTTTATGGGTAATTACAATACAGACCTAATCATTCAAAAAGTTTGTATGAGTACAGAATTCTACATTCAAATGTCAGATGAATACCAAAGTGATGGAATCAGAGGTATGACATGATTTAAAAATGTTTTTATTGCACAGACTAATTAAACGTAGATAGGTACGTCTTATTTCTACATAAACTCTATAACAGCAGTTAAAATAAATCCATAGCAGTGGTCGTTAAAGCCAGACGTCGGAACGTTTTAAATTGCCAATAATGCGAGAGTGCTAGCTGCCCTAGCCTTTCTACTTAATGCTTTTATGGTGGGTTCATCCGCTAACCTTGGAAGTGCGCTGACTCAGCCCTCGACGGTAATATGAACAAAAGGTCTTGTTTATTCCTTGCCATCGATCAAATTGTGAATAGACAGTATTTTTTGGCGGATATGGATACAAATGGATGTCGCTTTTATATATTATTATAGTAGTTTTGTTAGTTTTTATGCCCTTAAAAGCACAGTTGCATGCAGCATGATTTAGTCGAAGTTTGCAGTTTTTATAAATTACCGATGGTTACTTAGCACAGGAGTTTGATATTCAAATACAATTTATGTCAGTTGATAGTAATAATTACTAATAATATAATATCACTACTTTTTACACCCTACAGCTCAAAAAATTATATTACTAGAAATCGCCTTTATAGTTTCATTTTTAGAGTATAGTTCCGAAAACTTATAATTTTTTAATTAATGCCGTATTGTAGAGATTTTTATATGATATATTTTTGTTAGTTATAGTAAGTGTAGATAATTGCGGTATTTTGTTTCTGTCTTTATGTATATGATCTTTGTAACTGTGCAAGTCGGTATAGTATACACAAAACTGTGACATCAATTGTGCATTGTCCATGTAGACGAAGATATCGCGTATCATATACAAAAAAAAAATACTGCAGTCCAATTGAGAACATCCATACTTTTGTATGTTGTAAATATGATACTCTAGATATGTATACTGTCTCAGTGAGTCACTAGTTTGCATACGAGTAGGAGACCATAAATGCAGGCGTAAGTGATTTAATTGAATCGGGATCAAATTGTAATCACATAAAACAGGTATCACATTTCATATTCTTTGTTCTTTAATTATAATATTGAAAACTTATTTGATCCTTTCAGAAATAAAATTATAAAAATACGTTGTTCAGTCTGTAATTTTTTTGTTTAAATAAAGTATTTGTTTAATTATAAAACACAGCTAGTAATAATTATGAATTTAAAACAGTTTAAATATATACAATGATAATAATCAGGACAATTCACACAGCGCTGTCTAGACTCAAGTTAAGCCAGCTAAAGGTTGTGTTACGGGTACTAGACAACTGATACAAATACATACTTTTTCGTAATCGTATACATATTATAATAGAAAACTCCCAGATCGATACAAACATACATATCGTGAATACAAATGTTTGAACTGTTCGAGAAATCAAACCCGCGACTATCGGAAGTAAGGCGGTTTGCTAAACCGCTAGACCACCCAGGACGTCTAATATGCGTTACATTCTTGTAAAAAGGGCCAAATACATTTGCTAAAGATTATTTAATTTGTCACATTTGATATCGATTTGTTCGAACTTTGACTTCGGCGTGAGTGCTTCAAAGGTATTATTAATTGCTGAAACGTGAGATTCATTAATTGTTCATTAAGGAACAAAAAATGTCATAGTTACTTATTTTGTATTATGAATGTTATCTATATATATATATATTATTGGTTATGTGCGGTACCAGTTTTTGCCCATTCTTCTTATCTTAATATGTATTGGAGAAAAATATTATTAAAGAAAACAACAAAAATTGGTAGTAAAAACGTCAAAATATTACAAATCTACCATTGAGGTTCCAACAATATGCATTTTGAATATCGTAGAATTAAAAAGTGCTTACATATATTTCTTTTTGTACTATGGTGGTGGCAAACAAGCATACGACCCATCTGATGGTAAACGCTTGCCGTAGACTATGGACGCCTGAAACACCAGGAGTGTCACATGCGCGTTGCCGACCCTTAATATATTGGAAAACTCCCATGTTGTAGTTTATTTAAATCTAAATTTCATTTTTTATGAGTGAGTAATCATACGTCAATGATCATATAAATTTTTAATTACAGTTAGTCAAAGAAAAGATGGCTTTAATTAATTTAAAATAATAT